ACTAAAGGATGATGTGAAGTTTTTATTCATCACTCACATCTCGTGACGACACCCTCCAGCCTGATGATGTTCGGATGGTCAAACTGTCCCATGATGGAGGCCTCAGACAGGAAGTCCCTCCTCTGTTTGTCTGAGTATCCCGCCTTCAGACTCTTGATGGCCACGTAGATCTCCCTCTTTCCCTGCACACGCAGCCGACCACTGCACACCTCCCCGAACTCTCCTACACACACACACACACACACACACACACACACGCACACACACACAAAGGTTTGATAAAACTGTGAAACTTGCAGGGGAAAAAAAAAGAACTTGTACTGATGAATATCTGAGCTCTCATATCCGTGTTTTTGGAAGCTTTATAAGATCTAATATTGAATCTAAATGGCATCCAGATTTTTTTTTTTTTTTTTTTTTTTTTTTACATGACCAATGTTTTTTAATTTTACAGGTGCTACTGTTCAGTTGCCAAAAATAAACTGGATTGTCCATGGGTGCGAATATGACTCCAAAGAATCCCTAAAAATGAACCATAGTTTAAGTCATTTGAATTCACTCGTTACATTTTTACTGCTTTTCTGAGTTTTTAATATAGCCCACTGCTGTTTTACTGCCAACTCACCAGCTCCAATGACTCTCTCTATGCGAATATTGGAAGCATCGATCTCTTTGGCAAAGTCCCTGACAGCCTGGTTGGGATCTTCGTAGGTGTGAGGATGGATGTAGGTCCTGCTGCCCGGGAGCTTAACTTGGAGTGGAGAAAGGCGGAGAGAAAGATAAAAGCTAAATGTATTGTAACATATTCAGCTTTGGCTGGGTACATGATTGTGCAATTTAAAAAAAATAATAGATAATAGTATTAATAGGGGAATGAAGTAGTTTTCTCCAGAGCTGACATTGATTCCTGCTCAGACATTTGTGCAGTGTGAATGCATGCTGAAATGTGAGCTTGAGCGTGGGTGCTCCGTTTGAGTGGCATTACGAATTATTACATAATGAAACACATAACTACTTTGTTCATAATGGTGTTAAAATAAGTCATAATTTTAACAGGCACCCATAAGGAGCTTCAACTCTGCCAGCAAACATTGTGCAAGAAAGTGTGAAATGACGTGGTTTATTCAGCTGAGAATGCTACAGACTCCTGTAGTGTGTGCTATATGGTGCAGCTCTGACTGTTTAAGTTCTCATTCTACAGTGAGTGTGAGGGTGTTGTTTATGAATAAATGAGCAGTCATTTCTGCTCCTGGAGTGTTCAACTGAGTTCAAACTGGTAAAATATGCATCCTCCTGTCATTTGTTTACAGCAATAAATACAGGCACTGATGTGAGTCATTGCAGGCGGGTGTGAAGTTCGGTTCAAAGACAAGTTGTGTGTGTGTGCGGAGGTGCTTGCATAAGCATAAATGTACATATAAAAATAAATCACAGAATTTGAAAAACAAAACAAAAACAAAATGCACTACATTTGTATCCATCATGGTATAACGTTAGTGATGAATTTGCGCACAGAAAATTAGATCAAAGCCACACCTTCGCATATTTGATTGCAACAAATGAAAAGTGTTTGTCTCTGTGAGTGCTGTTTCTGTTTGGATGGATGTATGAGTTTGTGTCTTTACCTCGGCCATGCTGGAACTGCATCTTCTCTTCATCGGGGTCCTGCTTGGCTTTGATGTATCCGCAGTGCCTGAAAAAGAAGCGCACAGCTGGGTTATGATCCTGTATCGACTGTTTTCCCAGTATACAGACGCCAACATGGCTTAATAGCACCTCTATGCACGATCACACACTCTTCAGTTTTTTTTATGTGCAATGTTTGCTGTAGTAAATCTATCATATTTCCAGGAAAATCCCATACTACTCTGTGCACAGCCAATAGCTTTGTGTATAAACAACCAGATATTTCCTTTTGTCTGTACACACCCCACTCCTCTGTCTAAGATGAGCAAGGAGGGAAAAAGTAACAAACTATTCCTCTCTTTCTGTTTTACCTGTCAATCCCATACTTCCCTATAAGGAAGTTACGCCTGAGGTTCAGTGAGTGAGTGAGTGAGTGAGTGAGTGAGTGAGTGAGTGAGTGAAGTCGTGTGTGTGTGTGTGTGTGTGTGTGTGTGTGTGTGTGTGTGTGCGCGCGTGTGTGTGTGAGTGTCACAGATGTCCCTATAGAGGCAGATCTATGCATTTAAGCACCCCTCTGGCCGTTAACCAATCCTTTCAACATTATCATGGGTCACACACACTTCTGTGCCCTCTCTCCACCCTCCTGCGTGCACACACACACCCTGCAGCGGTGGTCAGTTCAACGATCAAGACAAAATATTGACAAATTGATCAACTCAATCCTGCCGTCCAGCTGCGAGGAAGTGTTAAACTCTGGTTCTGCTTGACAGACCTGACAGGAGGATACTGCCGGTGTGTGTGTGTGTGTGTGTGTGTGTGTGTGTGTGTGTGTGTGTGTGGGTGTGTGTTTTTTTGTGTGATTTGGAGTTTCGTTTGTGTCGGCGTATTTTCTCCCTCACTTTGTTGTGCTTCAGCCTTCAGCTCGAATCAGCCACCACTAACACTGTCTGTGATTTACTGCTCTTTTAAATTTTAGGCCAAAAAACATAAAAGGTAAAAGCCGTTTTATATAATGAGGTACTAAACATGACATAAATACTGTGGCCTCCTCTCCTCTCCTCTCCTCTCCTCTCCTCTCCTCTGCTCCTTTTCCTCTCTTATCCTATCCTCCTTGACTGCTGCACAGGTAAAGCAGCAACCAGTCAGTATGTCTGTCCATCATGAGGACAAATTGATTTCGGCTTAGAGCCAAGAGTAACTGGGAATCTGCAGCATGTGATTTAAGGAAGCAGAACAGAGGAGGACAGAAGAGAAAAGGAGACTGAAGGAAATAGCGAAAACAAACAAACAAACAAAAAAAACCTTTGATAAAGAAAAGTCATATGAGAAATGAGATAAGGACAAAAAACAAAGACCAAATTAATAAAAGAGAAGAATAAGGCATAAACAGAGAAATGTCTTATGACTAAGAATGAGAAGCACGCGTAGCAACAAAAATGGAGAAAGGTGGGGTCTGCCAGGCTCAGTAAATCTCAGTCATTTGGTCTTTAATCCTTGTGTTGATTTTACACAGCTGAATGCATGGTATAACCCAGACATCAATAGGCTGTTATGGGAATACACACACACACACACACACACACACACACACACACACTCTCACATGAGGGTAGGGACTGATTGCTGGTATTTGGGGATAAAGAGGAGGGGGCATAATGTTCTTATGAAAGGGGAGTTGGTGGGCCCCACCTGGTTATCAGCTGGGCTCAAGCCAGTCGAACACCAAGGGACGATCATTACCCCCTTGACACACACTCTCAAACACATACAGTGCTTTGGGGCATGTGTTTAGAACATATGGGGAATGGGGACATGGGTCACACCTCTGCTCCAAGAGCGATAATCCCGTGGGGGCGTAGACACCCACCCACCCACACCCGCACACACACACACAGAGACACACACACATATATGTGCACCTTCTGCAAAACACTAAACCCCACATTTGAAACACTGCTAGAGGTGGCTCTGTATTAGTGTGTGTGTGTGTGTGTGTGTCTGTGTGTGTGTGTGTGTGTGTGTCTGATGGGAAATGAACACATTTCCATAGTAATTACAGAGCGACTCATTTCTCCTCTGCAGTTAGAAGTGTCATGAATCATTAGCGCTGCAGTCTTAAGCATAGTACAAACCCTGACATGGCTGTGGCTTTTGTGCCCCCCCCCCCCACACGGCTGTGTCTGTGTGTGTGTGTTTGTGTGAAATGGATATTTTTATACTTTTAATACCTTAAATGCAACTGCACAACCTGTCATTCAGGAGTGGACTTGGGAAGACTTTCATTTGTTGTTGAGTTTGCGTTTTTGAGATTGGTAACATGGCAGTTATACACTTTTTTTTCCATGTAAATGAGCCACTGTTTCCTCTTCCTGTCAAAATTTGTGTCGATCAGTTCTTCTGTATATTTTGAGCATTTTCTGATCAACGTATGGCCATTGCTGGCTAGAGCAATATTTTATTTCATCCCACTATAAACTCTTCCGTGTTTCCAAGATATAAATGAAACTGTTCAGTTTTTGCAAAGAACTTTCCATCTCAACCTTTACGTCAATATGGGTGAGAGGTTTTTGGAGAGGCAGGGATTCTTTGACAACTGTGTAAACTCCATCTGGTGAGGAAGATTCTGATCTGATTGAAAGCTCTGGAACTGCTACTGAGGACCTCGTGGTGAGATTGGCATTCAAAATGCCAGCGCTGACATGAAGCACAAGGTGGGAGTAATTGACCTTCTCGACAAAATATTAATTTAAAAGCACATGTATCTCACACATGTAGTGCAAGCTCCAGTCTGTCGTTTCAAAGTCTTCCTTGAGTTTGACAAAATAGTGGTATGTGAATGTGTTTTGCTGGAGACAAGGTTGTTGCCATGGCATATCTCAAAGTTTTGTGTAGCTTCAGAAAACATGGCTCTGGTCACCACATAGCCTCGGTGTGTTCCTAGCTGCCTGCTATTGATTTGGATGCCACAGGTGTTTACTTTAGCATATGAACATTCAGAGGTTCTGGAGCTGGCACAAACTTTATAATGAGACGGTCCCCTTGCATTGGCACTGGCTGCTTCTTTATCCTGCTGTACTGCATTGTGAAGCTGGCACTATCTGTCACTGTGGGAGAAACCATTGTGCCATTCAGCAGCCATCCATTTGCACTATACCACTGCTGGCTCGTACTGTAAATACACATCCCACCCACACGGATGTATGCAGATTTTAAAGTACACACGCCTTGCTCCAATCATGCAAAAACACACACGTTAATGGACTGCGATATCAGTATCACACCCGGGCTCTCACCTTTCTTTCTGCCTCTCTCTGTTCCACTTCACTGAGGACAACAGGCTATCCCTGTCCTCCAAAGCCACACACTCCACATTTGCATATCAATTTACTTTTTAATATAATGCTCTGTCACTCGAGACCCATTTGTCATTCTGCTAGCAAGCTTCCACCTTCATAGGACTCCATCCATATATTATTGTCCCCGTGGCCCCACCCCCGTGTTCCCCTCTTTCTCTCTCGCTTGCTGCCCTTTATCTCGCGGGTGGTATATTCTTTCGTAATTCTTCCTTTAAGTGAAAACATTCCTTTGTCCAATAACCCACATGTCCTCTCTTTCTCCCTCCTGTTTCCATCCATTTATCCATCCCCCAACAGGCCCTGTCTGCTGCTCTCTTTTTCTCTGTACTTCTTTCTTTGATAGAAAGAGTGGACACTAGGAGCTGGAGAGCGAAAGACACAAAACCGAGAGAGGGAGAGGGAGATGGAAAAAGAGAGTGCTGACAGGCAAGAACGCACAATGGGGGTCCAAGCCTGCATACCAACTAACAAGCAATCAGATGGAGGGGAAGAGCGAGGAGAGAAGGGGAGGCAGCCGTAGGGATAGAAACTCGAAGGTTAACATACGGGATGTGGGATGAAAGAGGGGTGGGGCAGCATTTGTGCTGCAACGGCAGGAACCGAAGATAAAGAAGAAGAGAAAGAGGTCGTATTATAAGAAGAAAGAGCACTAAATAGCAGAATGGCGAGTAAAAAGGGAAACAAGAAGGATGGAGATGTCGAATACTGGCTTTGTGGATGGAGGATTCAGAAGGAATAACAAAGTGCAACACTATCAGCACATAGCTCACCCTGAAGGAGAGCAAGAGAAAAGATAAGAGAGCCGATAGACAGATGACAAAGAGAAAGAGTGTCAGTCAACAGTATGGCTGCAGAAAGGCAGAGAGAGAAAAAGAATGGCGTCTAGAACGTCTTGTCTAAACCACAACGAAACAGTAAGCTCAAGAAAGAAGATGAAGGCAGTCAGCGAGGAAGCAGGATCCAACATCATTTGCTCTTCAAATCATTGTTTTTTACCCCCTTAATCCCATCTCAAGATAACTAGGAGCTGGATCCTATCCCAGTGTGCATCGGCCAGAAACCAAGGAAACACCTCGGGCAGGTCGCCAGTCCATCACAAAGCTAACACGAGATAGAGCAATACACTCGAATTCACTCGAGCAGACAATTTGGAGTTTTCAGTCCACTTGACACTGGGAAGAAACCGGAGCGCACACAGGTCAACTCACATGAACATGTGGCGAATACTGAGTCTTTCTGTCAGCTAACTCTAACCACAAATGCTACGCAAATATTACAGTCAGAGCGGCCAAAATATCCATTTAGAACGAATGAAATCACTCAGACTTCCTCTTTGGGGAGACAGTATGAGCACACTGAACTCATCTACCCTAAAGCCATCAGGACGGGGGACTCTGTCCTCTGTGTATCCACCGCCTTGTCTGGCATATTGTCTTTCTCTGAATCCTTTGCATTGCCCTGCGCATTTTCATGTAGCACTCCGGATATGTACACCATGTTATAGCACAGTTTGTTTTACAGCTATGACATTTTACATTAGCACTTGCTTGGGAACAGCCTGCACACCTGTCCAATATGCACTTTTGCATTTTAATACTCACATTAAATTGCATATACACTTTTTAGCACAGCCTCAGGAGTACGCCGCCCTGAAATTCACTGCACATACGAGCGTGTGGCAAATAAAATATTTAACATAATGGCTATACAG